CCCCCCCTACAACCTCTGCAGGCTGGCAGCACTCATACGTCTATTTCTCATAGACAACCTCTGGATATGACGCTGGGGGCGTGCACCATGGCGAGCCCGGTTCTGAGTAGAACCAGTCCGGTTACACCGCCGTATGGTCTTGGCCACCGTGCCGCGGTCTCAGCGATCTTCTTGTAGCCTCGGCCATCTTTATGTTTCACATCCTCGGAGAGTTCTTTGCCATGAGGTGATGAGGCGCCATGTTGAAATTCCAGTGACCAGTATGAGAGAGTGAGAGCGATAACACCGAATGTAACACACCTGAGACCTCGTAACACTAACGAGTCACATGACACCGGGGGAGGGAGAATGGCTCATTGGGCCCAATTTGGACATTGTCACTTAGGGGTGTACTCACCTTTGTTGCCGGCGGTTTAGACATTAAGGGCTCAGTCACACTAGATGCGGTGCGTTCCGACCCGATTTTGGCCAGAAGGCATTGCCTCGCATTGCGGCCGGCTCACTTTTTAGTGGGGCAGGAGGGGGCGTGGCCGACCATTCATTGTGCCTGCGGTCCGGTCCTGTGCGGTGTGATGCTACGAGCACTATTTTGATCGCAAGGCGCAATGAGCCTTGCGATCCCGTGCGGCGGATCGCATTGCGGCCGGAGGGCGTGGCTACGGCGCCATTCACTTGAATGTGTGTGGAGTTATTTGGAGGGGACAGCAATTGTACACTGACATACAAGCTGCACACTCACTACGTTACATTGTAGCCACGTGTCATTGCTCCTGTGTCGTCACATGACATCATATCATCCAATGAGAGGGGGGGACTCACCTCTGGGAGATACTGCATGTGTGTGTATGTGTGTGTGTGTATGTATGTGTGTATGTATGTTTATGTGTGTGTGTATGTATGTGTGTGTATGTGTGTGTATGTGTGTATGTATGTATGTGTGTGTGTGTGTATGTGTGTGTGTGTATGTATGTGTGTATGTATGTGTGTGTATGTATGTGTGTATGTGTGTATGTATATGTATGTGTGTGTGTGTGTATGTATGTGTGTGTGTATGTGTGTATGTATGTGTGTGTGTGTGTTTATGTATGTGTGTATGTATGTGTGTATGTATGTGTGTATGTATGTATGTATGATGTATGTAGGCAGGTTTCTTGTGTCATGTACATTGATTTTTCTCGGCTGTGCTCGGTTCTCACCATTAGGTGGCGCTAGACCACAGGGGGACATTTCCCATTAGGGTCTCATCGTATGGGAAGTGACAGCGTCACACCGCAGGACACAAGGACGGGTCACATGATATCAGACATTCCGGATTAAAGATCAAATATTTATTATTATCGAACATTCTATTACATCTGTATACATTCGGGACGTTTCAGGTTTTTGGAGCTGTCTCTGTCCCATGTTGGGGAGATTTCCCCTCACTTCCTCTCCTAGAATCATGTAGAGGAGTGGGTGGGGGAGGGGAGGAGGGATTATTCTCTGACACGTTCGGAGCCTCTGACCTGGAACAGGGAACCAGAAAATGAAGTCAGAGCCACTGATCCGCATTCTTGTTCCAGGTCAGATAATAAAGCTGCAGGACAGCCAGGCAATCAGCATTTCTTTCAGGAAGAGGCGGGTGTCTCCGTAACAACCAATCAGATGTCGGCTCTGATCCTCTCCAGGTTTTTTGGAAAAGGGTAACTAGAGGTGTTGTCATGAAAAAGAATTTGCAGTGCTACAAGTTCTCATGGAGGAGGGGGAGGAGCTTCAATTACATTTCACTTATAAAAGAGCTTTTCCTGGACCGCGCCGGCTGCTTTCCTTTTTTTATGGAATAATACGTCTTTTTTGGGAAAACAATTGATACAATAAATGGTCTTTTTTTTTTTGTCGCTGAAACATCCGGTCGGGTGGAATGGTTTTGGGCGCATCAAAGTCGCTACAACGGCAGGCCGATGAAAGGATTGGAGGCCGAAAGTCTGCCGAGGTGATGTGAAGTGTCGTAAAAATAAATGTGGCGCGAGACGTGCGCTGCCGGGAGATACAAAGTGGACATGCGCACCAGCAAAAAAACATTTGTTTCGTTTAGCTTCGTTTTCATTCGGATTTCGCTTTATTTTCGGAATTCGGGTCCGCAAGTCAATTCGTTTCGGAAATTCGGACGAAATTCGTTAGCGATAATCCGTACAAAATTTATTTCGTTTCGTTCGTTGCAGCAAAGTGACATTTAAGAGGAAAAAAAAAGTTTTTTTTTGTTCTCAAATGTCACTTTGCTGCAATGAAATTTCATCCAAAAAACGAAAATTCGTCCAAAACAAAAAAAAAACAAATCGGAAAAATTTGGAATCGGAAATTCGGATTCGTTTGCATTCGTTATATCTGTCATTCGGAATTGGGATACATCCGAATCTCCGAAATTTCGATTCGGAACGAAACGAATGGCACATGTCTAATACAAAGTAACCCACCAGCGGCATTGCATAGGAGAGCATGACGGACAATACAGAGGATGGAGATGACAATGTACGTGTGTATCCGTCAGGACAGACAGAGGGACCCGAGGACGTCTACGTATCATTATATAAAGGATAAAGAACGATGGAATATAACACATGGACATCACAGAGGAAGTATAGAGGGACCCGAGGACGTCTACGTATCATTATATAAAGGATAAAGAACAATGGAATATATCACATGGACATCACAGAGGAAGTATGGAGGAACTATAGAGGGATCCGAGGACGTCTATGTATCATTATATAGAGAATAAAGGAGATATATAGAACTATAGAGGAACAGAGACAGTGCAGAGGAAACACTTCTATCTCTATGGACACAATAAAGGAAGTCTGTAGAGAATATAGAAGGATCCGCGGATGTCTATGTATCATTGTATACAGTACAGGAGGTTCTTCTATCCCTATGGACACAGTAAAGGATGAATGTAGAAAACTATAGAGGGATCCGAGGACGTCTATGTATCATTATAGACAGTACAGAGGAAATAATTCTATCCCTATGGACACAATAAAAGATATATGTAGAGAATAATAAAGGAACCTGAGGACATTGAAGTATCATTATATACAGGATAGAGAACAATGGACACAACAAAGATGTGCAGAATGTATCATCCGGACATCACAGAGGAAGTATACAGAGAACCATAGAGGGATCTGAGGATGTCCATGTATCACTATAGACAGTACAGAGGAAATAGTTCTATCCCTATGGACACAGTAAAGGATGAACGTAGAGAATATAGAAGGATCCGCGGATGATCACGTATCATTATAGACAGAATAGCAGATGTATGTAGAGAATAATAAAGGAACCTGAGGACATCGATGTATCATTGTAGACATAACAGAGGAAGTATATAGAGAATCATAGACATCACGGATGAAGTATGGAGAGAATTAGGAGTAGAATTGAGGATCTATGTCAGACTTATAGAGGAATCCGGGAACACCCATGTATCATTATATACAGAGTAGCAGATGTATGTAGAGAGCGATGGACAAGTTAAAGGATGAGAATATATCATCAGGACAACACAAAGGATCTATGTCAGACTTATAGAGTGACCTGAGGACGTCTATGTATCATTATAGACATAACAGAGGAAATACTTCTATCCCTATGGACACAATAAAGGATGTATGGAGAGAATATAGAAGGATCCGCGGATCTCTATGTATCATTGCAGACAGTACAGATGACGTATGTAGAGCATTACGGGTAGAATTGAGGAGATACGTAAGACTTATAGAAGGATCTGAGGATGATCACGTATCATTATAGACAGAATAGCAGATGTATGTAGAGAATAATAAAGGAACCTGAGGACATCGATGTATCATTGTAGACATAACGGAGGAAGTATGGAGAGAAGGATTGAGGATCTATGTCAGACTTATAGAGGGATCCGAGGTTTTCTATGTATCATTATAGAGAGAATAAAGGAGATATGTCAGAACTATAGAGGAACAGAGACAGTGCAGAGGAAACACTTCTATCTCTATGGACACAGTAAAGGATGAACGTAGAAAACTATAGAGGGATCCGAGGACATCGATGTATCATTATAGACATAACAGAGGAAATACTTCTATCTCTATGGACACAATGAAGGATTATAAAGATCAGCAGCCGAGCACATTATAAGAACACACAGGAATGAAGCGGATCCTCTTACACATGAAATGAATACAGACATTAATGATAACAGATGAAACCCCTTGCTCTTAAAGGGCCACGTCACCCTCTATGGAATCGCTACGTGGCGACTGGCTCAGTTGGTGAGAAAGCAACTCCATAGAGACGGGTCCGCGGCCTCTTAGCGATTCTGTGACGAAAGCTGGGTTTGCTCGTGTGACGCGGCCCTTTAATAAGCGGTAGTCAGGTTCCTGGAGGTCGGCCCAGTGGCAGCGGTCGGTTGTACGGGCGGTGTGTTTGCATCACTTGCGGCAGACTTTGTGGCGCGCCGCGTGGGAGCCGCGGCCTGCGATGAATGGTGGAATGATGGGTCTCATCGGCCTGCCTGGATAATCTTTCTTTCGGAGAACAAAGGGCTGAAAATGTTCTGAACATGTAAATTTTCTCTGAGGTGGGCGGGGCTTCTCATCATCAGGATGGCGCACTGCGTAGAAACGCCGCCATGGCGGGAAAAGTCCTTGCTTGTTATGTCCTCCGATCCACTCCAGCAACAGAACGTTACCATTAGCAGCAAGACTGGCGGGTTAAACAGGGGAGGAGCGGAGGTGTAGGCGGAGGGGGAGGGGGGGAGTCGCCGCTCACATTTCGGCCTCCAGCGCCCCTCCCCCTACAGTACATTATCT